TATTTAGGGGGCAGCTGTGGCTCTGTAGTCCAGTGTAAATGTGTAGTATTGTAACAATAAATATTTTTTTGGAAAGAACTTGTACTATGATTTGTACCTTAATTTGATGGGGTAATATTTTGAAAAAAAATTATATTCAACTAATATACTAATACTATGATACTATTTTATAGAATATACATCATCTATCATTTACTTATTGACTATACCTACCTATTGTCCTATTAGTAGATTTTGAGACATGTCATATTATAGTATTATACATGCACAACAAATTGCATTTAATTTTAATCATTTGCGAGATGTTGATGATTGAAATCCTAAGTTCATCAATTAATAATTATACGTATAAACCTCTAAATAGATTTATTATGGATGTGATTATAAGAATAGGTAACTACTTAAACAAGTTACTTAGTAAAGTAGTAAACTACTGGCACAGAATGTTCTATAAATATTATGTACCTACCTGTAATTGTTTTTAAAGTTCAACAAATCATTAGTTGTAGATGACGTTCAAATAAGATAATATTATATTTTTATGTTCCCAAACGTTTCGGTTTAGGCCCTTCTAAAACGTACTGCTGGAGCCGGGGGTCCTCGAACACCCCCCTAGGTGTATTTTGGAAAAGGTTTAGTTTTTGTATGACGTTTCTGAAACTCGAGATTTGTATAGTTTGGAGGTCGGTGATCAAATTCGGCATCTTGTGTCGAGCCCATAGGAGCCGTTTTTCTCCGTCTTTCGGGGCTTCGAAAGTTCAAAATTTGCGTTTTTCGGAGTTTTCGTTGCTGACACTTAGATTTTGGGCGTTCCAAGCCGTTTTTGTAGTCGGGCTTTATAGAGCACTTTACGCCTGAACGATTGGAATCGAGATCGAGGAGATCCGACTTTTGGTTCGGGAGTTATGATTTTTAAAGTGTTTTTTGTACTTAGAAAATTACGTAGGTATTTACGTGTTTTTTAGATTTTTTTTTTTTCGTTTGATCACTTCAAAATTCTAGAATCTGATCATTCGGCGTACGAGGATTCAAAAAACCTCTATGGTCAAAATACGTACGACCATTATTTCACCCGAAATCATAGTAGCAAAAAGTTAGAAAACAAATTATGCTATTTTTCGTATTATCAAGGCGTCTCCTTGTGGTATACGTCTGTGTAACGTATCAAGTAATAATTATTTTGAACTTATTTTCACACTTATTTTAGTAGGCGTGTAGCTCATTATTCATTAATGGAAATCGGTAGGTATATAAGAATAAAATATTAAAACCTATAAAATAATAGGTCAATTCACTCTAATATATGTATTTGAGCTAACAACACAAAATTGGTTGTATATTTTGAAGTACTAGTTCCTTCAAAATAAGTCGTATGGTTATGAAACCTTCAAGAATCGAAGCAGACAACCCTCGAGATCAAATTTATTGTCTCAAAAAAGCCGCGACTCGATTTTAAGTTTGAGAAATTGGCAAAAGAAAATTTCCCGCCAATTTTATTTTTGAAAAAATCAAATTTTGAACTCAACGTTTACCCCCTTAATATTTGAGTTTCAATACTTTTAAAAACTGGGAACTGGTCTAGGGACGTTTCTGCTTCGATCCTCGAAGGTCTTAGGTAGATAGAATTAATATTAAATGATTTGGTTTTTTTAAAATCGTAATATATCGAAAAAACCTAAAAAGTTTAATATTGGTCGTAACGTCTTAAAATCTTCAAGGTTCAACGCAGTGACACCTCTAAATCAAATATACGTTCTCAAAAAAACCGAGTCTCAATTCTAAGTTTGAGAAATCGGCAAAACAAAATTTCCCGCCAATTTTATTTTTGAAAAATTCAAATTTTGAACTCAACACTCACCCCCTTAATATTTGATTTCAAAAACTTTTAAAAACTGCGAACTAGTCTAGAGACGCTTCTGCTTTGATCCTCGAAGGTTACATAACGATAAGCCTTATATTGAATGATTTAGGTTTTCGAAATATTACGAATTTTAAAAACCTATAGAAAACCTAAATCCTTCAATAAAAATCATATCTGTATGAAACCTTCTAGGATCGAATCAGAAGCGTCTCTATACCAGTTCCCACTTTTTAAAAGATTTTTAACTCAATTATTAAGAGGATAAATTACATGTTCAAAATATAAATTATTCAAAAAAAAAATTGGCGGCAAATTTTCTTTTGCCAATTTCTTAAACTTAAAATCCAGACTCGGCTTTTTTGAGTACAGAAATTTGATCTCGAGGTGTCACTGCGTTGAACCACGAATATTTCAAGACGATACAACCAACATTCAATGAGCTTGTGCCTTGTACTTCGAAATGTACATCCAGTTATTCCAATTTTTTGTCGTTAGCTCAAATAAATATAAGTGTATTTACCCATTATTTTATAGGTTTTAATATTTTATTCTAATATACCTATCGATTTACATTAATAAATAATGAGTTACACGCCGACTATAATAAATGCGAAAAAAAAGTTCAAAATTATTATTACTTAAAACATTAAACAGACGCATACCCTGAGGAAACGTCTGGTTATACGAATAATCACATATTGCGTTTTTCAACTATTTGCTTCTCCGATTACGGGCGAAATAATGGTCGTACGTACTTCAACCATAGAGCCTTTTTGAATTCTCGAACGCCAAAAGAACAGAAACTCGAGTTTTGTAGTAATCAAACAAAAACCCAAAATCCAAAATACACGTGATTACGTAATTTTCCAAGTACAAAAAACACTCAAAAAATCATAACTCCCGAACCAATAGTCGGATAACCTCGATCTCGGTACCTACCCATCGATACAGCGCAAAGTCCTCTTTAAGTATGTACCTTAATAACTTATGCATAAAATATATATAAAATGTAGGCAAGTAACTGCAATCTATAAGTTGTATACTCCATTATCTTCTATATTCTGATGAATTCACAATTGATATTGATATGTGTGTGTGTGTGTGTGTGTGTGTGTGTGTGTAAACTTTTGAAACTGCATTTAAAATAAATAACTGTTAATATAAAATTGATAGCATTACATTTGATAGTAATTTTTTTTAAAGGATGTGGTTTTTTAAAATTCGTAATCCATCGGGAAAACTTTGTAGTAATATTTATCTGTCTCTACTTTGTAATATTAATTAATTTAGTGTTTTATTTCTAGTCAAAAGGGAACAATAGTGAGTGATGTAGGAATGTGCCTGGGCCTCGTCTGAGCTTCTTTTCCATATTGTACTTCCTTGGAATGAATCACTTAAGTGTTGATTTTTTTTTTTAAATTACACAACACTTAACATGTTATATGAAATAAACTTTCAAATAACATGGCATTCGTAATATTTAATAATTTAGTTATTTATTTTAAGATAATAAATATAAAATTATTGTAGGACAATTAGCTAGGGATAATGGATGAAACAAATTTAAAACAAGCGATTTTCTATTTGAAAATGAGTTGTTTATTAAAATATAATATACATTTTATTAGTAATTTAAGGTGAAATATTGATATGGTACCGACCGGACGACAAACATAATAATAATATTTCTTTATTACGGAAATAAATTCCAATTACAGTTTTTTTTTTTTTTTCATATAATATATTGTACACGTACATTAACAGTAAAATGAGTTATGTATAACAATAATTTTAATAACAATGATAATAATAATAATAATAAAAATAACTTAAAATTTAAAGAGCAAATAGGTATTAATATCATACAATAAATATTTAAATATTTAAATTTCTATAATAAAAAATACAATGAAATAAAAACGAGATATTAATTTTATTTCTAGTACCTACTTTGTTATGTATTTCTTAGAACATTTGACATAAAAGTATTTAGAGAATTACCAAAAAAATCAATATTTTTTATAGTTGCCTGTGGATATTAAAATATTTGATGGAGAATTTCGCATATAGTTTGTAGCTGAATGTTTTATGTAGAATAAATTTACAGATCGGTGGTTTATTGAATTTATTTTAAAATTTATATTTTGTAGTAATTCCGGACAATCAATCATATTATTAAAAAATATATAAAAATTTTGATTTAATTTGCATAAATCTTTGTTCTAGTGATTGCATATTAAAAAACCGGATTGTAACATTATAATCAGAATGGGGTGCTCTATAAACAAAATATTGATAGCATAAAAATCTGATAAAATTATTTTGAATTTTGTTTAAATCTTGGATTTGCGTTACTAAATATGGATGCCAGATTAGGAATGCATAATCAAAATGTGAACGGATTAGTGAGTAGTATAATGTTTTTAACGCAGATTCATCTCTAAAGTTTCGACATGTTCGTTTTAAAAAACCTAACTTTTTTGACACTTTATTTCTAATATAAAGTACATGGTCTTTAAAAGATAGTTTGGAGTCAAATTTTACACCAAGATCGTGTACTGTAGAAACTTTTAATAAATTTATATTACCCAACAAATAATTTAACTGAATAGGTTGTCTTTTTAAAGAAAAAGTAATATGGAAACATTTTTTTAAATTTAAGTGCATAGCATTTTGCTGGCACTATTTATACATATTATTTAAATCTAATTGTAGTTCAATAGCGTCTTTTGTGCAACTAATATTTTTGAATATTTTTGCATCATCAGCTAATAATAATATTTTAGAATGAGAGATTACATCTGATATATCATTTATAAAAAAGCAAAATAATATTGGGGATAAATGGTCTCCTTGGGGGACACCGGATGTAACGAGAATTTGTTCAGAGACATGATTTTTATATTTTACAATTTGGGTGAGTCCAGAGATGAAAGAATAAAACCAAGAAAGAAGTGGTTCAGTGAATCCATACGTTTTCAATTTATTTATTAATAATTTATGATTAACCCTATCGAAGGCTTTTTCCATATCGGTATTTATGACATCAGTTTGTGATTGCATTTCAAAAGAATCCAAAACATAACAAGTACAATACTTACTGATCTTATTAAAAAACAAAACAATCATATAAATAAATTTACAAGATTGAAATAAAATTATAAAATATATTTACTTGTGGATATGGTCCGATTATGCCTTGTACGTATCCAAAATTGCGGTGTCCAGCCCTTCTCAAAAATCCTGTGAGGTCTTCATCTCTGTTGAGTTGTTGCACATAACCTGCTAAGACAGTGGTAGAGTTCTCTCGTTCCCTCCATGATGCTCGATCTCTAATCTGAAATGTAATTATTATATATAATTAAGTTTATTTGTTGAAAAAATAACATATCTGTAACCAGCCCAAAAACCAATTTATGTTCAAATAAAAATTAATTATCACCCTTAGATTTCTTCTGGCTTGATCAAATTCAACGAAATACTGATTTTCAAGGACAGTCAGTTTTTCTGTAAGCAAATTAATTGATCAGTAAAAAATAGTACATTGTAATAGTTTATATTATAATATAAGTTACAGCAAGACACATACATATGTTACGGGTAAAGTACAAAATATGGTTAGTGTTCACATTATCCGGGTAATGTGTACACTACCTGTACCTATTGGATAAAGTAAAAATACTATTTATAAAACGTTTATTTCGTACTTTACTCGGGTATTAAGTTCAGATCCATCAACAAATTCCCACCATGCAATGTTGGCGACACAGTTAGAGTCAAACTACCAGAAGTAGACAGAAGTAAGGGTGATCCACAGAATGTACTCTTTGCGGTTGTGTCTATAAGTGATAATCAATATTACGAACTCGGTAATAAAAATGGCACTCTTCATCAACTTTATTCCAGAAATCAATTCACTGTATGCTCTGAACCATTAATAGATATTTTAGAAGTTTTAGCCACAAAAAAAACTTTGAGCGAAATAGCTAATGAACAATATTTTTCCGGTGGTCAAGGTTTTAAGAAGTGTTTATGTAAAACTAAATGCTTAACAAATAAATGTAAATGCAAATCCAGGGGAATACTTTGTAATTCTAAATGTCATCTAAACTCGAATTGTTCTAATAAATAATTGTATTTCGCTTTTAAATTTTAATTAAGTAAATAGTAAAGTTGTTCAAATATATAATTTATAGTTTAATAGTAATAATAATAAATAATTTTTTTTTGAATTAGTATAATTTGGTTTTTGCTACTAGAAAGACTTTGTATAATCTGTACCATTTTAAGTGTTTGATGCGTTGGTCATGTTGTACCGAAGTTATAAGTTTACGATTATAGTTATACGAATACATTATCCACAGCACCCCGGATAATGTATAAATTGATTGGATACTACATATTTAAGGTGGATAATGTATACATTACACTGTTCGTATGGATGAGGTTCACATTACCCGGGTAATATGTACACTAACCGTTTTTGTACTTCACCCGTTACACATACAATAAAAACACCATAACCATAAACAAAAATTAAAAAAATAACCTAAAAATTAAATTTTAAAACAACATAGGTAATTTACTTACTTAGCTTACCATTAACTCCTTCTTGTTAGTTAGTTTACACATGACATAAATGAGATACACAAAAACACAAACATATAGGACAAGGACGCAACATATACCAACACATCCTGTAAGCACTACTTCTTATGAGGTTAAACATGAAACATAAAATAATACATATTATAATAATGATGATACTGATAACAACAAACATTTAACACAAGGATGCAACATATAAAACACGATACACCTTGTACTGCAAAAACTCACGAATAAAATTCCATATATTGGGATGTCTTTGCATTTGGGTTAGAAGTGTAGCCTGGAAAGACTCCAAGTAGTTGTTGGTTCTATATTCTTCTCCAAAACAACTGATTAAACCTGGACCGACCTGTAACAACCAAAAATATTGCACATACCCAATTAGAAAGTTTCTCATGCCTTGTTCAATTGGAGGAAATTGTCTTGTGTAGTCCATGATAGCATCGAAACCATCCTCCATAGAAAATGGACAGCGCGGGTCATTCCTGGTTGCGGGTAGGTGAGGTAATGCCAAAACCTAAAAACACAATGGTGTATTAAAGAGAAATACAATTTAATACAAATATTAAACTTAAATTTACCATTCTGAGAACTCGAGCAGCTACTGGGTTTGTACGGATTAAATTACAAACACTGTTCATCCTTCGGTGACAATACCGTACAATTGACTAGAAAAAATATTTTTTTTTTTTATATTATGAGCACTAAGTGCACATAAATTATTAAAAAACTACCTGAGTAAAATGGAACCAACAACATCTCAATTGGCTTTCCGGAAACGATTGTTGAACGGCTAACATCAGAGCTTTTTCATAATCTGTAATAAAACAAACACGTTGATAATTCAAAGGTAAAATATTTCTTACAATATCAAACAGAGCCGCATAGACTTCTTCAGTCATGCTCCCCAGTAGATCATAGACCATTGGAAAGGACTAGAAAAAAAAATAAAAAGTAAATAGTGAGAAATATGTTAAGAAAAAAGAATTTAGATTATTCATAAAAAATATCAATTATCCAACACTTACTACAGTTTTGAAAACCACCTGGATAGTAAGGAGACATTTCAAATCTGCTGGAACACGAGGCATAGTCTTGAACGTCCCATCAATCCCAACCAATGTCACAGTGGCCAATTCTTCTCTGTATTTGTTGACTGCATCCATGTTCGCAAAGATCACACCAACACTCCTTCCATTGACGACCAATGCTTGTTGAAAGAACCTAGTAATAATTTTTAAAATACAATTTTTAGTAATTTGGAACAGTTTACCCTAAAATAATTTAATACAATACATTATTCAATTTGTAACTGTATGGTTAAGTATTCACAATTACAAATACCATGGTACCAATAATTTTAATATTTGTTTGTAACTGAATAATAATTAGGTGCAATTTGCACTGTCAGCAACTAAAAAAACAATTTTCAGTATTCATTTATAGTATGGATTGTTATTCATATTCATTTATTTTATGAACGGATAAATAGTATTAAATTTAATAGATTTATAGTAATATAGACTTTTTCTGTATGGATATTTGTAGTATAAATGCTAATCTTGATAAATTAATTTTAATGCTTAGTAGTGTTAGTGGTAAGTTTGACGTAATAATATTAAGTGAGACCTGGATGTATATTGAATTTAATGAAATGATGGCGTCACAATTTTTATTGAAAATAATTTTAAGCTCATAAGTATTTCAAATAAAGTAATATCTTGCAATACAAATTGAATTAGATAAATTGAAAATTTCAGTAATAAGTATATACAGGTCACCACAAGATATTATTGATACCTTTATTTACAATTTGAATACATATTTAGAACAATTAAATAATAATAATATTCACTATGTCATAGCAGGAGACATTAATATTAATGATTCACTAAATGCTACTGATTATCTTAATGTAATGGCCAGACAATTTCATATGTATAAATATTAAATAATACTACTCGAGAAACCACAAATTTTAACAATTTTTTTTACAAAAAATATAAATGTAATAATTTGCAAGCATGAATACTTAAATGTCAATTGCTGACCACTATGGCACAATACTAAGTTTTAATGCTCAACCAATAGACTTTAATCATATCAAACAACCTAAATTCGAAAATGTTGTTTACAAAATCAACATTAACTATTTAAATCCAACTTAAATATAACAAAAGTATTAATGTAATTAAAACAAATAGTAAAAAACTTTTTGGATTAAGAAGTTGTAGTAATACTGCAACTGAGCTATGTATGTCATTAAATATTAATTTTTAATACTTATCAAAATAGTTTTTGTTTTAAAAATGCTTTACTTAAAATACTTTAATTTTCTGCATATTATATTTCTATTCTGTGTTCATAATAGATAATGTTTTTAAAAAAGTTAACTGTCATGTATATTGTTTTTCTTTTCTTTTTGTTATTTTCAATTAATAAGAATGTAAATACATACCTATTTATTAACTATGTAACAGCAGTAATTTTTCTCTTTATATACGTAAGAACTCTCACCTTCATCACAAGCAAGCTTAAAGGAGATGAGCAAGTTTATTGTTTTAATTATGTCAAATGTATTGATGTATTGCAAAAATTTACAAAATAAATAAATATTTTACTATTTTATAATAAATATCAGGGTTGGTAATATACGCGTTTAAAACGTTTTATTCGTTACACGTATAATGCCCCATGCATAAAACGTATAAATCTTAATAACGACCAAGACATAAGGAGTATTAAGTATAAATTGTTTTCGTTGAAATTTATAATTGTTATAATAGTGATAATCCTGAAAATAGTATATAGGTAGGTACTGTACATTTAAGATTTTAACTTATAAATTTCAACATCAACTTAGAAAATTTTCTTAAATTGAGATTGAAATTAAAATTAAAAACAAAACAAATTAATTTTTTGTTATTCTAAATTAATAAATATTGAATACTAATATTACGGTAGTTATTAATGATGAATAAAGATACAGCATAAAACTAAGTAGTTTTATACTGTACTGTATTATACGTTCCAACCCTGATAAATAAAGATTAAATATAATTCATACAGCAAAAATAAAAAGACAAATAAATGTGTCCATAAAATATTATAAAATGTTGTAATACAATCATAAACATCTACCAGGAGTAGATAAATTTCTATACACTTATGTAAGTAATATGTACATTTTTTGTTGGTTCCTACTTGTTAATTTAAAATTCAATAAATTAATATAAGATTCACATACACTATTACCGCTAATTATAGGATAGCTTATTAGTAAGGCTGAGGACTTAAAGTACTTCTAAACCTGAAAATATTTATGCACTAAGAACAACAACAAATAATACGCGTTTAAAATATGCTCTAAAAAAATGTATGACTTTTGGTACATACTTAAATTATACTATCAATATGAAAACAAAAATATAAAAAATGATAGTTTGATTATTTACTTTAAACAAACTTGAAATTACTAATTAAGTGTTGCAGTGTTATTGACCAGATAATATACAGTTTTGCTGCCATTAACCTAGTACTGTTATATTTTTAAATATTACATTTTCTAAACGTATACATAATATTATGCTCTTAATTTGGCAAAGACCAACATGTAACTCTTAACATAGACAAAATATGCAAAATACAATTTGTAGTGTAACTTACTTGTATTATGATTTATGAAACATATTAATATTTTATACATCAATCACGTTGATCTGCGACCTTTTAAGTCAAATATGAAAAACTAGAAGTCCTCAGCCCTACTTATTAGTTATAACTTAAAAACTTTTAGAAACATTTATATTTACCTAGATGGGGGTTTTTGAACTGTAAGAGCGTAAATGGCATTTCGTGCTTCATTCAGTGCCACTGCAAGTTTTCCAATATCAAGGGGGGGTTGCGCCGGGAATCTTCGAAGTCTCATCTTTTTCACTCGTTCTTGAGCCTGAATAAATGTGTAGTTACTAGTTAGGAGCTGCTTCTGGATGGCTAACAAAACCAAAAAAACAGTTAATAAATAATTTTGCATTGTTTATTATTAATTATGGGTAGTAGGTATCTATAGTTAACTGAAACTTCCTAATACTAACCTTATTACTAACAAGTAGTAAATAATAATTTAGTATAATATACTAAACGGCACATTCAGGTCGATCACTCTGGGCGGATGGTCGGGGTAGAACCCTAGACGAATTCTGTTGTCGTTCAAATTTGCACTAACAGTTGCAGTGGAAGGGCAGTACTGGTTCCGTTGCTTCTGCCGTTCGCATACTAAATACCTATAAAATATAAAAACATTATTTATGATTAGCCATAATTTTATTATCATTACCCAAATAGGTAGGTAATTATATTAGATAAACTATTAAACATACACGCGTTGTCCACGAGTTTCTCGTTTGTAATACTTGAATCCCAAGTTGTCAACATATATCCTCGATCGGTTATGAACCCCAGGAATCAATCTGTATGTTTCCGACACTCCAACAATTGGTTCCTCTTCCTCTTCCTCTCCAATTCTTCTACTTCTTCTACCAATTCCTCTACTTCTTCTTCACGCAGTATATGATCATCTTCATATACAACTGGCAGGAAGTAGTCATGGTCAACCAAATGATCTGGGAGAGCAAATACTTCCTCGTTGTCCATTATTATTAATATATAACTAGAATCAGAACACCAAAAAAAAAAAAAAAAGTTATGTTGAGTAGTTATGTTTATAGTAGGTAAGAAATTTAACGAAATTAATAAGTAACACCAAAACAACAAAAACGTTTTAACAATAAAGTACGAAAGCACGAGCTGGGTTTTTGGTATGAACTATGTTCAAAGTTTTAGTATGAACTATGTTCAAAGTTTTAAATACTTAGGTAAATCGTAGGTAAATCGCAAGTGAATCGCAGGTGTATCGCAGGAAAATTGCAGATAGACAAATCTATATAAAAAATTGAAAATTTTATCAATATCACAGATATCATAAAATATTTAATTAATTTAATAATTTTTTTGGTTACATTTACATAATATTACATTCGTTATAATATGAACGATTTATAACATAATACATAAATAAGTATTCACTTTACATAATATTATACTGAAGTTGTTTCAGTTCAAAACATACATAATTTAGGTAATCAACATAAGATTAATTACTAATATTATTTTTGATGTTTTCCACAATAAATTAATTATGCATAAGTTATTTGATACAACATCAAAAAATAGGCAATATTGTAGATCCTCCTTAACAGGCCAAAAATGAATTCCTATCATCGCCATCATTAAATATTTATCTCAAAATATATTGAACTGAGGAGTTCACACATAGTAAAGTTAAAAATAGTGAACAGAAACTCAACTTTTCCAAAGAAGACTGTACAGTTTGTCAACACACAAACACTTTTATTTTTATTTTCTTGTACAACACTACCTCTACCAATTAAGGTCTATTCAAAATTTGTAAACATATTATTTAAAAAAAGTAAAAAGTGGCTTAGGTTTATCTGTTTTTTTTCTGGTATTAGTATAAATATAAACTTTTTGTTAATTACATTATAGGGGTTATTATTTATATGTTATCCTATCTTAAAATTAAATTTAAGACATAATATTATGATTTATGCTTGACTTTGAATACTATTTAAATACTTTTTTAACTTAAAATAAGGGCCTACAAAACCCAGAATGATTTGAAAATACTAATTAGTGACTAAGTTTTGATCTATAATCATCCTGCAATAATCCCATTTTTTTGCACAATTAGTAGCCTTGAACAACAAATCAAATATCCATTAAAATATGTTTAACCATGTAATACAACAGTTAGGTTAAGTTAGTATGGTTAAGTTCAGTATTTCAGGAGTGTCATCAAAACAGCCATCGCCAGCCAATGACTAACAAGGTCCATGGTTTTTACTGCATGAAATTTATTTGGACAATTTTTGAGAGCAGCATTCTGTTTGAAAATCTGCAATTATGAAAAATTTAAATAATTTGTACCTTGTTACAATCAATTTGGATAATTCTGTCGAAGGTACGAATACCCAAAACTCTAGTATTTAACTTCAATATTGATATTAGAAAAACTGACATAATCATTAATTGTACACATAATACTTAATATAGAGTTATATTAATATTTAATAATTTGTAATATTATCAGTGGCATGTTTATGTCTTTCCATAGATTGTTTAAAGACGGCAACATTTTAACATGTCAATAACATAATAATTGCAGTTGGTTTATTTTGTAAATTAAAATCAACAAATAATATTTCAACATTAAATTGAAATATTTGTTTGATTTCATAAATTTGTTTTTAAATAAAACTAGTGAGATATAATATGCAAGAGTATATAAAGCATTTTATACTGCTCTATAAAATTATTTCACTTTTATAACACAACTCCGCACCCCAAAAGTAAAATTTTAAATACGTACGTCACTGCGAAAGCACGAGCTGGGTTTTCGGTATGATTGTATGAACTATGTTCAAAGTTTTCAGAACGACAATAATGCGTAAACGGTAAACAATAGTAAGCACAGTAGGTAAGCAGTAGGCACTAGGCAGTAGTTAACGAATAACCATGACAAAAAAGATTTAGTTCTATTTTGTCATGCGAATAACGAGAGTCGAGAGTACGGCAAAGTTCAAGCGTTCAAGGGCTGTCCATCCGTTCATCCGCTCATATTTTGGGTATCGAAATGGTGGGAGTTGGCTGGGTCCTGGGTGGTAGGAATGGCCAGTTTCCCAAACATACACAGACCATGAGCTCCAGTGAAAGTTCATCTGATACAGACAACACAAGTATGAATATACAATTTATCATTTACAAAATAAATCTATGATGTAACATGTATGCATAATATTTATTTTTTTATTTTTCAGCAGTAGAAGAACCTCAGGCGTTCAATTTGTGGCAAGATCATGCAAAATTTGTTCAACAATCCACCAGTCATAAATCCCATAGAGGAAATGTCTGTGAAGTTAGCTCCCGGACGTTTAGCAGTTATCAATTCTGATAAGGTAGGTAACCGTATTCCTGTATACTATATTGCCTATTCATATCTTACTAGGAGTCTTAACAAAAATATTTATTTTTCAGATATACCTACCTAATTCAAGATGGAAGAATGATAATTATTATAATTATTAAGATTATAATATTATTAAATATTAATAAGTGACATGTCATACTATATTAATGCAATTAATAAAACAAACAAAATTCTGAACTACCTACTATGAGTATAATTCCATAAAAATTGATAGTAATTAAAATTTTTTTTTGCAAATATTGGATTTCATAAACAGCTATTGTTTTTACTATTTTGAGTAAATAAATCTAATTTGAGTAAATATATACTGCAAGTGATATACATCTTATAATGTAAATATAGGCATCAATAGACAAAAATATTGTACCAAAATGAGAATAGAAAACCCTAAACCTACAATTATTACAAAAAGTATTAAGATCATCTACAGGTGCGTTCCAAACAGTCAAATCAAATCAGCTTTAAGGAAAAAATTTATATTATCCGACAATAACCCACCAATGGTCTATAATAATATTCAAAACTAATTTAACATTTGATAAAACTACAGGGTCAACAATGGGGAACGAGCTTAAACATTTAATCATAGAATGAATAACAATTAACTAGATTATATATATTTATGTGTTAAAGACCTCGCATAATGATCTTAAATTAATAATTATCAAACTTTTACAAATAGCTTTTAAAAAATAACATTTAGTATTCTTGGAATAACTTGATGACAAATATTTTTGAATACAATTGTATGTCCCAATACTGCCAGTACACATAAAAAAGGGGATATATCATTAATTGTTCAATTACCTGTTAATGAACATTACAAATAACAATCCTCCTTAGTTATTAAAAGTTAAAACAAATCCAATTTAACACCCCACATAATTTAGTAGACACAATAAGGATGATTCTACTATAAAGAACATTTTGGAGGGACGACTCAGCATGAAAAACAAAATGTATGTAGGTACACCGAATTATATTTAATTGAGCAGGCATCAAATAAAAATTCGGAATCTGTAGTTTTCCGAAAGGGCCACGGTAGACTTAAATTCCAGGATTATAAAACGATATCAACCATACCATTATTGCGATTTACGTGCCATGCGGCTGCAAAGTTGGTCTAATAGGACGGCTTTTTCAAAACGAACACGGAAACTTATGTTTTTCAGACCATTTTAAGGCAAAAGAGCATTCAGCATAGATTTGAAAATTGTAGTTTTTGGATGGGGCAATCAGAGGACTTAAAAGCGGCCTCTAGGAAAATAAAAGTATATACATATTATACGACTTTCATGACATACAGGCAAAGCTGCCACGGGTATACTTAGAACAGAATTTTCGAAATTACACCCAAAATGCTATTTGTCAAATCATTTTCAATCGAAAGAGCAACCAACGTAGACTCAAAATTTGTATATTTCGAAGGGGGCACTCGGGGGACTTGGGCTCCAGAAAAATAATGAGATTGCAACTATATGATTTTTACGATACTGCCGTATTTCGACTGTGCGTTGTACTTAGAAAATATTTTTCGAAACGAACACCCGAATTGCGAGTTGTCAAACCATTTTTAAACGAAAGGGCAACCAACGCAGTTTCAAAATTTGTATATTTCGAAGGGGGCACTCGCGGGACTTGGGCTCCAGAAAAATAATAAGATTAAAACTATGTGATTTTTACGATACTGCCGTATTTCGACTGTGCGTTGTACTTAGAACGGCTTTTTCGAAACGAACACCTGAATTGCGAGTTGTCAAACCATTTTTAAACGAAAGGGCAACCAACGCAGTTTCAAAATTTGTATATTTCGAAGGGGGCACTCGCGGGACTTGGGCTCCAGAAAAATAATAAGATTAAAACTATTAGATATTTATGAGTTTAGAGGCGAATTGGCTACGTGGTATACTTAGAAAATATTTTTCGAAACGAACACCCGAATTGCGAGTTGTCAAACCATTTTTAAACGAAAGGGCAACCAACGCAGTTTCAAAATTTGTATATTTCGAAGGGGGCACTCGTGGGACTTGGGTTCCAGAAAAATAATAAGATTGCAACTATGTGATTTTTACGATACTGCCGTATTTCGACTGTGCGTTGTACTTAGAACGGCTTTTTCGAAACGAACACCCGAATTGCGAGTTGTCAAACCATCTTTAAACGAAAGGGCAACCAACGCAGTTTCAAAATTTGTATATTTCGAAGGGGGCACTAGCGGGACTTGGGCTCCAGAAAAATAATAAGATTGCAACTATGTGATTTTTACGATACTGCCGTATTTCGACTGTGCGTTGTACTTAGAACGGCTTTTTCGAAACGAACACCTGAATTGCGAGTTGTCAAACCATTTTTAAACGAAAGGGCAACCAACGCAGTTTCAAAATTTGTATATTTCGAAGGGGGCACTCGGGGGACTTGGGCTCCAGAAAAATAATAAGATTAAAACTATTAGATATTTATGAGTTTAGAGGCGAATTGGCTACGTGGTATACTTAGAAAATATTTTTCGAAACGAACACCCGAATTGCGAGTTGTCAAACCATTTTTAAACGAAAGGGCAACCAACGCAGTTTCAAAATTTGTATAT